GTGGCGAAAGTGCGGCTGCGGAAGCGCGGCGAGGCGGGCGGCGGCGAGAGAGGAAGCTGGGGGGCGGCGGGCCTTGCGGAGCCGGGCGGACGCCATGGGCCGGCTGCACTGCACGCAGGACCCCGTGCCCGAGGCCGTGGGCGGCGACATGCAGCAGCTGAACCAGCTGGGCGCGCAGGTGGGCCGGGTGGCCGGGGCGCGGGCCAGCGTGGGTCCCGAGGGCTGAGGGAGGGGAGGGGTGTGGGCCGAGGGCCGCCTGGGGGTGAGGAGAGTGGGAGGGACTAGGCAGAGGGGCTTCTGGTGTGCGGTGTGGCGCTAGGGAGATTCAGGGACGGGCTAAGGGGAATCGGGGATCTGAGGCGAGTTTGGGGGGCCGAGGGATCTCAAGAGGCCTACGGCGCAAGCTGAGGGGTCCCGGGGAGGGGGGTGTGGGGACACAGAGGTGGGCGGGAGTCCTGGGAACGAGGAGAATTTGTGGGGGTCTTAGAGGAACTGGGGGAAGTCTCCATAAGGCTGAAGGGGGTTTGGGGAACTGAGGTAATAGTGGGAGTTTGGCGAGCTGTGGAATTTGGTGGGCCAGGGAGGAACTGAGATGTTCGGTAGGGAGACCAGTGGGGGAAACTGCGGGGGGTCTTGGCGTCCAGCAGGGGCCGGGGGAAGGGGGAGCCTGGAGTGGGGGCAGGTAATCCGCGGTCACATACGGGTTTGGGTAATGGCCAGGCCAGGGTGGGGACTGGAGGGGCCTGAGACCAGGGCCACACCCCTAACCCCCAATTAAGGGGAATATCTGGTAGTCCTCAAAGAAAAAAACCATATACTCTTCACTGTGGCGGACCCCCGCCCCCCTTGGTAGTAGAGGAGCTGGCAAAGCTGTTTTTTGCTTGTTCAGGCTGCAAATGCCAGCCAGCCAACTTCCTGCCCCTGTGCTGGTTGGGCTGCCCTTTTCAAAGCACCAAGGCAGCCAAAATAAATAGGCTAAAATGACACCTCTCATCACCATTGTAAAGGTGCAGCTATTTCCCCCACTGGGTTGTAACTTCTCAGGAGGTGGGGTTCCTCTCCTTCATCTCAGCATCCCCCACAACTTACTGTTTTCTCATAAAGTAACACGAATTATAATGCCAGACATACTCTGAAACCCCTTTGTCCAACAGAAATAAATAAATTGCAAGCCACAAGTCTAACTTTACATTTTCTAGCAGTCACATATAAAAATTAAAAAGAGAGGCGCTTGGCTGCAACTCTTGATTTCAGGGTTGTGAGTTCAAGCCCCACATTGGGTGTAGAGATTACTTGAAAATAACATCATTAAAAAGTAAATAAATAGGGCGCCTGGGTGACTCATTCAGTTAAGCATCTGCCTGTGGCTCAGGTCATGATCTTGGGGTCCTGGGATTGAGTCCTGTGTTGGGCTCCCTGGCAGGGGAGTCTGCTTCTCCCTTTTCCTCTCCCCCTGCTTGTGTTCCCCCTCTTGTCTGTCTCTCTGTCAAATAAATAAATAAATAAATCTTTAAATAAATAAAAAGTAAATAAATAAAGGGGTGCCTGGTTGGCTCAGTTGGTTGAGCGTCTACCTTTGACTCAGGTCATGATCTTAGGGTCCTGGGATTGAGCCCTCTTTTGTCAGGCTCCTTGCTCAAGAGGGAGTCTGCTTCTCCCTTTGCCTCTCCCTCCCTCCTCCACACCACTCGTGCTCTCTCTAATAAATAAAAATCTTTTCTCTCTAATAAAAAAGGTAAATAAAAATGAAACAAAATATGTTTTCTTTAATCCACTATACTATCATTTCAACGTGTAATCCATATGAAAATATCAGTGAGATATTTTACTTTTTGATACTAATTTTTCAGGTTCTGCTGTGCACTTTACATTTATAGTACATCTCAATTAGACTAGCCTTTTTCAAGTGTTTAATAGCCACATGTGGCTAGTGGCCACTGTTTATCATACAGCAATTCTAAGTCCTCTTACGTATATTATTAAGCCTTTAAGTCCTTAGAACCACCCTAGGAGGTAGGTACTATTATTATCCCCATTTTACAGATTAAGGAAACTGAATCACAGAGCAGTTAAACAAAAATAGCTGTCATTTATTGAGCA